CCAGTGTAGTCCCACAAGTGGGGTGTGGTGAGGGTAGAGTGTACGCATGCAGACCTTATCCCTACCTTTAAAAAGGCAGAGAGGCTATTTTCGGAAGACCCTCAGCTCAGGAAGGAAGAGGGGAGGGGTAATAACAAGCAAAACAACCAAAACAAAATACAAAACTAGCAAAGGTAATGCATTCAGAAAATAGAAATACAAGACAACAACAAGTAGTAATAGAAAACTAGCCAAAAAAATAAAAGTTGCTACAGAAGGCACCAAGTGGTGTGTCAAAGCTACTGCTACAAACAAGGATAATACTCGACCATCTAACTATCTACCTTTATTCTCAACCTCCACACATTCCTATCCATGGTCATGTCCTCAGTAAGCTGAAGCAACGCCATATCTTGTCTAATCATCTCCCCACAATACTTCTTCGGTCTGCCTCTACCTCTCCGTTTGCCCTCACATGCCAGCCTCTCACACCTCCTAACCGAAGCATTAGCACCTCTCCTCTTCACATGCCCGAACCATCTAAGTATCGCTTTCCGTATTTTGTCCTCCACAGGTGCCACACCCACCTTGTCCCGAATAACATCATTTCTAATTTTATCTAACTTGGTATGCCCACACATCCATCTCAACATCCTTATCTACGCCAACTTCATCTTCTGGACATGGGATGTCTTAACCGGCCAACACTCTGCCCCATACAACATAGTCAGCCTGACCACCGCTCTATATAACTTACCTTTAAGTTTTGGTGACACATTCTTATCACACAGAACACCGAAAATGAGCCTCCATTTCATCCATCCCGCCTCAATATGGTGTGTGACATCCTTGTCAATCTCCCCATTCCCTTGTATAATAGACCCAAGGTATTTGAAACTTTCTCTCTTAGGGATGACTTGTGACTCAAGTCTTATGTCTCCGTCCTCTTCCTGAGTCGCACCACTGAACTTGCACTTCAAGTACTCTGTTTTGGTCCTGCTCAACTTGAAACCTTTAGACTCCAAAGTCTGTCTCTAAACCTCTAACCTCTTGTTAACACCATAACACATCTCGTCAATCAGTATAATGTCATCTACAAACAACATGCACCAAGGCACCTCCCCTTGAATGTGACGCGTCAACGCATCGACCGCCAAGGCAAATAGAAATGGGATGAGTGCTGACCCCTGGTGCAGCCCCATCATAACCGGAAAGTGTTCCGAGTCCCCCCTCCCCCCCTCCCACTGTTCTCATCCGAGTCTTAGCACCCTCGTACATGTCCTGAATAGCTCTAATGTATGCAACATGAACGCCTCTAGCCTCCAAACATCTCCATAGAATCTCCCTCGGCACTTTATCGAAAGCCTTCTTTAAGTCGATGAACACCATATGTAAATCCCTCTTCCTCTCCCTATATTGCTCCATCAACCTCCTAACAAGGTGAATAATTTTTGTAGTCGAACGTCCCGACATAATCTGAATTGGTTTTCTGAGATAGGCACAATCCTTCTCACCCTCAACTCCACCACCCTCTCCCATACTTTCATAGTATGGTTCAGTATCTTGTTACCCCGATAATTGTTATAATTTTAGATATCTCCCTTGTTCTTATACAACGGTACTATCGTACTCCATCTCCATTCCTCGGGAATCTTCTTCGTCCTAAAAATGACACTAAATAGCCAAGTTAGGCATTCCAAGCCCACCCTACCCACGCTCTTCCAGAATTCTACCGGAATTTCGTCATGCCCGGTCGCTCTTCTCCTGGTCATCTTACGCATCGCCCCCTCTACCTCCGCAACTTTAATATGCCTGCAATACCCAAAATCCTGACACTCTTGGAGTTTTCTAAGTCCCACGACACAATGTTCATATCCCCTTCATTATTCAGGAATTTATAGAAGTACGTATGCCATCTCTGTCGAATCAGAGCCTCGTCCAACAACACCCTACCTTCCTCATCATTGATGCATTTGACTTGGTCCAGGTCACGGGCCTTCCTTTCTCGCACCTTGGCTAACCTGTACAACTTCTTGTCCCCTCCCTTGCCTCCAATTTCTTCATACAAGCGCTCAAATGAGGCAGTCTTGGCCGCAATAACTACTAACTTTGCTTTCTTCTTAGCCACCTTATACTACTCCCTGTTCGTCCTCTTCTCCTCATTGTCCCTGTTTTCCACAATCTTTAAATAAGTCACTTTCTTGGATTCCACCTTACTTTGGACCTCAATGCTCCACCACCAATCCCCCTTTTGGCCACCAGAAGGGCCATTCGAGACCTCCAATATCTCCCTAGCAGCCTCCCTAATGCAATTCGTAGTCGCGGTTCACATACCACTCGTGTCCCCACTGCTCTTCCATGCCCCCATAGCTTGCAGCTTATCCCCCAACTCCTATGCACTGACCTTAATCCCAAAGCTCCCCACTTGATCCTAGGAAGACCATACACAACCCTCTTTCTTCACTTCCTCTTAATCTCCAAATCCATGACTATGAGCCTATGCTGGGTCGTGAGGTTCTCACCGGGGATGACCTTGCAATCCACGTACAGACCTCTATCTGACTTTCTGAGTAGTAGATAATCAATCTGGGTCCTGGCTGCCGAACTCTGAAAAGTAACCAAGTGCGCCTCCTTCTTCGGGAAACTCGAGTTAGCAATTACCAAATCAAACGTCTTAGCAAAATCCAGCAGTGAAGTTCCTCCCTCCGTTCCTACCTCTAAAATCGAAGCCTCTGTGCATATCAAAACACATCATTCAATATATATTAAAAATTTACTTTTATAAATCACTATATAAAAGAAGAGATATATTTATAATAGAGAGAATATTCCAAAGAGGAATAAGAGAAAGAGAATAAAAAAGAGAAGAAATGTATGGTAAAAAAAATTCTATTAATAAGGGATAATTTAAAATATATAAATTTATTGTAAGGATATTTTTGTTTTAAACAAATTTAGTTTTTGCTTAAAGAGAATAAAAAGCTTCTTGAAAAGTACTTTTCAGAAGTGTTTTGTTCAAAAGTACTTTTGAAAAAAAATAGTTTGTGTTTGGATAATTCATTTAAGAAGTACTTTTTGCAATATTTGATAAACAAATTGTGCTTGGCCAATCTTTCTAAAAAGTACTTTTAAATGTCACATTACCAAAAAGTATAGTACCAAGGTCTTATAGTTATTTAAAAGAGAAAAATAAACTTAAATATTTATCGTAAGAGACTTTTATTATTTATTAAAATATAAAACATAAAGTAAACATACATATTAAAGATTTAAATCAATATAACATATATAATTATACCAAAGCATATAATATTATCTAGTATAATTGCTTATTTTCATCATTCAGTATGAATTTGAAGTCTATTCCACAAATTACTATATATTGATAATCCACCATGAAATAATAAGCAAAGTCACTCACACATGATAATATTTTTCAACAACTTCATCTCTAATTCTATAACACAACGTCTCCATATTAGTAGAAGACTTGCCTAGCATTTCTAAAAGAATACCAGAACCCATCTCCTTCCTCAATCTCTGCAGTAATGTCTTTCATTAGCATAATAGTTGAATTCTTTATCGGTAGAAGAATGTCGTCGGAGAAAATTATGTATAGCCATGTTAGTTGTAGCAAGATGATTCTGAGTGTCAAACTTGAAAGATGGCATTGAGCGTAAAATAGAAATAATTTTACATATACAAAAATTATTTAATTCAAATTTATTAAGTATGTTTAGATTCAAATTTAAAAAGAGTAACTAATTATTAACAACACATAATGCATATTTTTTTAAAAAAAATTAAACTAAAAAAGAAACTAATTATTACCTAACCTAACAAACTTTGTCCTAAATTGCCAAGTGACCTATTGTGAGACTGTCACTTGGCTTAATGTGGAGGTTTTTTCTTCTTTTTTTAATAATATATAGATTATGTGATGCAATTATAAATTTATTACCTATTTGTAGGTAATTTTCACAAATTAGATTTGATAATTATTTTAAAGATTCGGAAATTAATAGCCTATAACAAAAGAAATTATAAATGATTATTTGTAGGAAGAGAATTGATAATCCAAATAAGGATGTAGATAATTTGTTTAGTGTGAAAAGAGAAGAAGATACAATATATATATATATATATATATATATATATATATATATATATATATATATATATATATATCCCCACAAAAAACTAGTCAAAATAATTTATTATACGGTACTTACAAGCACAAGTAACTTGAGTCGAAAAGAATAAAGTTTTCTATATGGAGGAACAAAAAAGATGACTAACCTGCAATTTGAACTTTTAACTTAGTGCTACGAAGAAAAATGGAGTTCTCTTTGTATTTGTAAAAAAAAAAATGAATATTCGTTGTATTGGGAGATATTAGCAGACTAGAGAACACGATAAAGAATTGGGAAAGACCATAAATTAGGGCTTTAATCAATAAAAAAAGGTCTTGACTTTTAAATTTAATACATTTCAGTTCCTTTTTTTAAAACTTTTGAGTAATTACAAGTTGACATATGAGAATTTGGGTATTATATGAAAGACTTATTCAACAAAATTTATTTTAATTTGAAAAGGTCTTTGGGGCTTACGTTTCACTACAAAAAACGTGTCTCAAACGCCCGGGTGTACGCCCTGAATTGTTGGGCATACGCCTCTTGAGACTTTCGCCCCACACCATCGTCTCAAGGCGTTTTTGGTGTGCCTCGCCCCAAAAACGCCTTTTAAAACACTGGTGTTTTCAACGAATCGCAACAATATCCATCGAAAAAATCTTTTTTTTGCCTATTGTTTTTGAATATTGTACATCATTGATACTTTTTTGTGGCTATTTTTGGTAGCATGACTAAAATCGCCATTGTTGATAAATAATGTCTTTTTTGGGTACATTACTGTAAGATGTCTTACTGGATTGTACCGTACGCTTTCTCTACTATCTACGAATTGATTTTATATGTACGTACTTGATATATATGGAGAAAGGTGCACCCGTGACATACTATTACTGTAGCGAATAATCATAATGTCTCCCCTTTTCTGTTCTTCTTGAAATGCGCTTATTTTCTTCTTATATATTCCTCCTAAATCAAGGCTCTTTGGAAAAATCTGTTATTGATTAGATTCATTCTACTATTATTGATCAGGGGTTGAGCCAATACTGCCGTTTATTAAGTGGCCGCACAACCAAGTATGAGTGTCTATTACAGTAGCAGCCATAGAAGTGGGACAATGGCTGGTGTTTTTCTGCTGCTTTTGCCCATTTTCTTTCCCAGTCTTTTCACTCCTTTGAGCTATGCCTCCCCCTCCATTTTCTCGGTATGTTTCCAGTTGTATCTCACTCTGTAATTTTTCTGCCTTTATGTCACTAGAAAATGTATGGAACCTATTGTGTTAAACAAATTACTGAGTATTGTAATGAAACAAGTCTAAATGGAACAGAATAAATAGTGAGAATTGGTGCCCACAAGACTTGGTTCAGGCGGTTAGAGGCATCAACGGCGGAGCCATGTTTTCGGTTCAAAATATAAAAAAAGTAAACACACAAAAAACCCGGGGTTCAACATATCTTATATACATAAAAATAAAAATTTTAACCTATCCACACAATGCAATTGACTCCTGTCTGAGAGGTAGTGTTGGATGTGTAGGTTAGGTGCATGTCACGAGTCTGAACCCTGCCGCGGACAAAAAGCTAGTTTTAAGTGGAGAAGGGTGACCCATTATTCGCCGAGTTTCGAATCGTGCGCAAGCTGGTCCTAGGAATTTCTCAAAAAGGGCAACTCCGTGCATATGGCATCCCGCGTTCACGCAGGGTTCGTTGAAGGGTCGCACCTCAAGGGTTGTAATGTAAACAGCCTACCCTAATGTAAGCATTAATGACTGCTTCTACAGTTCGAACCCGTGACCTATAGGTCACACAGAGATAATTCAAACCCGTGACCTATAGATCCTCAAAATTTCTCACAAAAAAGAAAAAGGAAAAAGATACTGACCGTCGGTATGGCTTACTCCTAGAAGCTTGGGATTGAAGTGTTATTGTTGTTCTAATGTTTTTTTTTTGGTCGCAAATACCCATATATCAATCTTTAGTGATGTTGTTTCTTCAATGTCTTTTTTCCTTCTAAGTTGTGCTGTTTTCTTTTTCACCGTGGTCCAAGGCAAAGTGAAGCGAAGAAAGCGGTGTACCTGAAGTTAGTAGGGAGCACTGGCGAGAAGGAGAGGAGAGCGAACAGTGAGAGGTATAACACCGCTAGGAAGGAGGCGAAGCTGGCGGTCAAAGAGGCTAAGACTGCGACTTTTGCTCGTTTGTACGAGGAACTGGGGGACAAAGGTGGGGAGAAGAAGTTATTCCGGCTGGCAAAGGCGAGAGAGAGGAAGGCTCGGGATCTGGACCAAGTGAGGTGCATCAAAGATGAGGACGGTAGAGTTTTGATGAGGGAGGACCGGATTAAACGGAAATGGCAGACCTACTTTCATAAAATTCTGAATTAAGAAGGGGATCAGGATATTGTGTTAGGTGAATTGGGGCATTACGAGAGTCACCGTGACTTTAGGTATTGTAGGCGCATCAAGGTTGAGGAGGTCGTGGAGACTATGCGTAAGATGAGTAGGGGCTGAGCTACTGGGCCAGACGAAATTCCGGTACAATTTTGGAGGTGTGTGGGTAAAGCATGCTTGGAGTGGCTGACTGGGCTGTTTAATGTTATTTTCAGGACGAAGAGGATGCCGGAGGAGTGGAGGTGGAGCACGGTGGTTCCGCTGTATAAGAACAAAGGTGATATCCAGAGTTGTAACAGTTATAGGGGTATCAAATTACTGAGTCATACCATGAAAGTTTGGGAGAGGGTGGTAGAAGTGAGGGTGAGAAGGACAGTGTTTATTTCAGACAACCAGTTCGGGTTCATGCGGGGGCGTTCTACCACAGAAGCTATCCACCTTATTAGGAGGTTGGTGGAACAATACAGGGATAGGAAGAAGGAGCTGTACATTATGTTTATTGATCTGGAGAAGGCGTATGACAAGGTTTCTATGGAGGTTCTATGGAGATGCCTAGAGGCCAAAGGTGTGTTGGTTGCTTACATTAGGGTGATTAAGGACATGTATGATGGAGTTAAGACTCGGGTTAGGATAGTGAGAGGCGACTTGAAGCATTTTATGGTTTTTATGGGGTTGCACCAAGGGTCGACGCTCAGCCCATGCCTATTTGACCTAGTGATGGATGCATTGACACATCATATCTAAGGGAAGGTACCATGGTGTATATTATTTGCTGACGACATAGTTTTGATTGATGGGACGCGAGGCGGCATCAACGAGAGACTGGAGGTTTGGAGACAGGCCCTCGAGTCTAAGAGTTTCAAGTTTAGCAGGATTAAGACGGAATACCTAGAGTGCAAGTTCAGCGTCGAGCCGACAGAAGCAGGAGTGGACGTGAGGCTTGAATCACATGTCATCCCCAAAAGGGGTAGTTTCAAGTACCTTGGGTCGGTTATACAGGGGATGGTGAGATCGACGAAGATATCACACACCGTATAGGGGTGAGGTGGATGAAGTGGAAGTTAGCGTTTGGAGTCCTGTATGACAAGAAAGTGTCACCGATACTCAAAGGTAAGTTCTATAGAGCGGTAGTTAGACCGACCATGTTGTATGAGGCTGAGTGTTGGCCAGTTAAGAACTCATATATCCAGAAGATGAAAGTAGCACAAATGTGGATGTTGAGGTGGATGTACGAGCACACTAAGATGGATAAGATTAGGAATGAAGATATTCGAGAGAAGGTGGGTGTGACCCCCATGGATGACAAGCTGTGGGAAGCAAGGCTCAGATGACTCGGGCACGTTCAGAGAAGAAGCCCAGATGCCCCGGTAAGGAGGTGTGAGCGGCTGGCTTTGGTGGGTACGAGGAGAGGTAGAGGGCAGCCTAAGAAGTATTGGGGAGAGGTGATCAGGTAGGACATGATGTGACTTCAGATTACCGAGGACATGGCCCTAGACATGAAGTTGTGGAGGTCGAGCATTAAGGTTGTAAGTTAGGGGATAGTTGTGCATATTTCTACAATGAGGCTAGTCTGCTAGGATTTAGTCTTAGACTGTTAGTGGTTAATGTTGAGTTCACACCATTCTTTCGTTTCTCTTAGTGATGGGCTTTATCTACTGGTTATTTTCTGGTTCTTGTGATGCTGATATTTTTTTCTATGATTTTTATTGATGGTATTGATATATTACCTCTTTTCGTCGTCTTTTCGTCCTCTTGAGCCAAGGGTCTATCGGAAACAGCCTCTCTACCCCCTCGGGGTGGGGGTAAGGTCTGCGTGCACACTACCCTCCCCAGACCCCACTAGTGGGAGTTCACTGGGTCGTTGTTGTTGTTGCTGGCTTCATTAAGGTCTGTTGGGAATAAAGGAAACTGATTCCTGGGGATGGATAGAAAAGCGGAAAAGCATAAAAATACAATCTTTGAAGTGAAAATGGCATCTGAGTATGATAAAATTCTCTGGAGGATCAATTGAAGGGGTTAAATTGTAAAAACTTGGTGTGTCGCATTTAATCTTTGGGTGTAGAAGGGGAAGTGGTTGGATGAACAGTGATGTTGAAACCAGAAAGTGTATGCTAGTCAATTTTAGGGAGTCAGAAGTAAGGATAATCCGGAAATATCTGGATTCGGCAATTGTAGAAACTTCTGGTTTAGTGTCTTGCATATGAATGGCTGATGATTTTTGTTGTGATGCCCAGTAGTATCTTTCAGTTTTAACCCCTAAGAAACTGGCAGAAGAAATCTTTGTTATGTCATAATCTTGGAATCTGGCATTATTTTACAAACTTGTCTTTTCTTTTATAAAGAAGGGTTTGTTAAGTTGGATATGTTGGCTTGGACCATTTATACGCCATCTTTTTATTCTGTGCATGAAGATGGTATTTGTCTGGTAATTAGGAATGCACAATGCCAGTCTGTCTAACTGTAGAGACCATAGAGAAGAATTGTTTAGTCCGCCGTAAAATACGAGTTCTTTAAGTTGGAGTTGTTGGCTCGATCATCATTAGTTGTTAAAATAAATGACAGTCGTTTAGTCAGATAAATACTGTGTTAGATGTTATTCACAGTGAGGTATAGCATTTAAGTAAGTTCACCATACTCCTGTTCAAATTGAAGAAAGCCACAATTACTTGGGTTTTGCATAATATTCTGGAAATGCACACTTCTTAGCCCAGAAAAGAGCATACTATTGTTTGTCATTCTAACAGTTGCTGACATGAATCACCAAACAAAAACTACTAATCACTGTTCAATGTTTTCTACCTTTGTCCACGTTTCGAACTATTTAAGATGAAGCTAGATAATGCTATACATCAGTAGAAATAAAATATCATGTGGTTTCCTTGCCTGGAAAGTCTTAATTCTGCAAAAATGGTAAAGCAAAAATAGGTATAGGTCTGCATAACTCTTCTGAAAGGAACCTAACAAGGCAGCATTTCTAGCTAAGAGAACGTGATATTGCCAGCGCAATGAATAGTTTCTGACTACAAAGAGAACAGAACTCTAGTAGAACAAGAGACGATGTGAAAAGTTTATCTGCATTGAATAAAACTTTGACAACTTGGGAATACAGTCATACTTTTGGTTGTCACTACACGATTTTACTTGCACCATTTATCGAAGATCGATTCTTAAGGCAAAATTTATATCCTTAATCCAGTTTGCATCCACAGGAATGGAATGCTCCAAAACCCAGGCACTCGCGTCTTCTGAAGAGTGCTCTACAACGCCAAACTGTGCGTAAGACTATTCGTTGCATTCATTTGTTCCTCCAAATTTTACTCTTGTTACCCAGAGAATGGTAGAAGGATCTCTTATTGGGTTCTTCTTTTCCATTTAGTCATCTGAAGAACAGTCTGACCTATGGATGCCTTTGGCCTACCAAGGATGGAAACCCTGTACTGAATCTGTCATCGCCTCTAGTGAGTGTCTGTGGATTAGTTCTAACGCACTTCAACTTTCATGTGTCGTTTCAAGGATCTCTGTGCAGCATTCTTTCATTTCGTAGCATCAACGTGATATTTCATTTACTCTTTTATTTCTGATTCACTGTTGCTCAAACATATGCAGCACTACCTGAAAAATCTGAGGGATATATTCAAGTGTTCCTCGATGGAGGATTAAATCAACAAAGGATGGCGGTGCGTATCATAAGTGTGCTCTGTTTATGGGGACAACATATATGAGAAATGCTTATTATAGGAATGTTTGTGCCGTGGATACCGTTTCTTAACAAGTGTTATGAGATGATTACTAATATGTGTACTTCTTGAATAAGATCTGTGATGCAGTTGTTGTTGCCAAGATCCTGAATGCTACACTTGTGATCCCTTATTTGGAAGTAAATCCTGTTTGGCAAGATTCAAGGTTGTTGTAATATATTGCTACATTGATTTTTTATTTTCGGTTTTTAAATACATAATACAAGGTTCTTTCTTTAATAACGGTGGTGTCCGGGTCACCTTGCACTCACCTCGACTATTCCACCGGGTACCTGCATCCTTCCACAAGTACATAATACAAGTCATCTGCTACTTCCTGCAGTACATTCGAGGATATCTTTGATGTTGATTATTTCATCAATGTATTGAAAGACGATATAGCAATAGTTAAAGAGCTGCCCGATGAATTATCTTGGAGCACACGAGAGTATTATGCAACTGGTATTCGACCTACCAGAATCAAGACAGCATCAGTTCATGCTTCGACAAACTGGTATTTGGACAATGTATTGCCTGTCCTGCAGAGGTAGCTCACATGATTGATTTTTGTATTAAAAATGTTTTGTTGATTTTATTTGATAACTACCTATGACTTCTATTTCTCAACAAAGCAGGTTAACAATTCAAAAGTAGAAGGTCTAATTAGTTAAGAGTATTCGCAGTGCTTTTGAATTTATAAAAAAAATGCTTCACAAGGTCTACAACCTAGCATTAGCATTGGTATTGTTTTTGTCATGCTAGATATGACGCTAATTGCCAAAAGTATAATTTCTACATACCGAAAGTATTCAAGAGTTTTTGGATTTTCAGAAAGAAAAAAAAAAAGCTTCTAAAATTCTACAACATAGCACTAGCTGCACTTATATTTTTTGTCATGATAGACGCAATGCCTTTCAGTTATAATACCTAAGAACAGATGGTTGCATATTTCCTTCATGTGAGTTACTTTAGTTAGTTATTATGACCCGGATTGTGACCTTATGTAAAGTTTAGATGAGCAATTTGGCAAATAGTTTGCTGTGTTTGATTTATTTCTTAGTATAAACATGTTTCTTCTGAATAGATAGCTATTCTGTATTCACGGCTTTTGGCTCTACTTTTGGAGTCGCTCATTAAAATAACATTTTCTTTTTCGGAATAATTCAGTTATGGAATTGCTGCAATAGCACCATTTTCTCACCGAATGACATTTGACAACTTGCCTAAGTACCTCCAACACCTTCGATGTAAAGTGAACTTTCAAGCACTAGCCTTTGTTCCTCACATAAGACATCTTGGAGATGTCCTTGTCAATCGCCTCAGAGATCCTTCTACCAAAGATGGTAGTAATTACATTAGAGAGGTTAGTGAGAAGTACAAACTAGGAGCAGGGAAGTTTGTTGCTCTTCACCTTCGCTTTGACAAGGTAAAACACTCTTCTTTGAGCAGTTAGTATCAGGATTATAGTTATCTGCTCCTCGCATTACAATGATTATCTGCCTGAAGTAAATTGGAAGTTTTAACTTGCGGATCCTGCAGTATCTCCTGATCAAATAACTAGTCTTATCATTTCCAGATAGAGTTTGTTGTCCTTGAAACCTGTTAAAGTCAACATCATATGTCCTCTGATCCACTTTTTCTTTTCCTTCGTTACATTGTTTAGTTTTGAGCTTTCAAATCTTGCTCTCCCGTCCACAATGTAACCTTGTAATCTTTCCAGGATATGGCTGCACATTCAGCGTGTGATTTTGGTGGTGGAAAGGCTGAAAAACTGGCATTAGCCAAATATAGGCAAGTGATTTGGCAGGGAAGAGTCCTAAACTCTCAATTTACTGATGAAGAGTTGAGAAGTCAAGGACGGTGCCCATTGACCCCAGAAGAAATTGGATTACTGCTGGCAGCTTTGGGATTTGACAATAGCACTCGATTATATCTTGCCTCCCATAAGGTCTCCACTTTGTCTGTAGATCTCTCTATATTTTCTACTTTTCAAAATTTTCCCTGGTGTTTGAGGTGCAAGATTATCTTAAGCCTGTACTTTTGTTTTCTAAAGTTACTCTTTCTATGTCAATGTTTCTAGGTTTATGGTGGGGAAGCCCGGATCTCAACCCTGAGAAGTTTGTTTCCGCTGATGGAAGACAAAAAGAGCCTTGCTTCTTCAGATGAAAGAGCTCTTATTAAAGGGAAGGCT